AATAAATTCGAAAAATCTACATATTTTATACTTTCTGATTTAAGAAATAAAGGAAATAACTGAAGTGGTTTAAAAGTTTCAGACGTAAAGCTTAGTACAATTATCCACTCGTTTTGGTAGTCCGCATATTGGAGGGTGCCCGAAACATTACATCACGCGATCCAAATTTTGCAAACTTAATTTATTTCCTAAAGATTTTGTGACTTTCCAGTATTCGCCATAAAAAACTAGAAATTAGAATTTTATTTCATATGAGGAGGAAAGATAGCCCCCTTTTAAGTTAGGGTCTAAAAAAGAGAACCATCTGATCCAAATTCCTTAGCGTTAATATTTTTCATAAATTGCTACCACGAACCAATTTTCATCGTAAAATATAATTTTGGAAATTGCATTTTTTTTTTTTTTTTCATATAATGACCTTGAAACAAACGGCTTTATGTAATAAGTGATTGAAAAAATCGACCGATCCGAACCACTTTCAATAGCGTTCGTCGTTGGGTCAAAACACATCAGTATGCTAAATTTCATTAAAAGATATCTCGAAAATTGTGACATAGACAGACGGGCAGACAAGCTTAAATCAATTCAGAAAATGATTCTAAATTGATCGATATGATGAAGGGTGGGTCTGTATGAGCGCAACTTAATGCACTCTATCCCACAAATGATGTACGGTGTAATCATAGCAAAACGAAGAAATAGCTTTCATAATCGTAAGTAACCAAGATAATGAGGTTTAACTGCCTTTTAATTAAAAAAAAAAATAAAATAATTTTAATCAACCAAAAACGATAACCTCATATAATTCACAAGAGGCTATTGAAAGAAATAGAATTCTCTCTGAGCGAGAACAAGGAAAATATATTTTCGTCAGTTCTGCGTAGGGAGTTCAGTTTCCTGTGTATGTCACTTACATATTTTATATAATTTTCTATAAGCTTTTACTCTAAGATTAGTGCTTGCATTTTTATGATGAATAATACTAACATATTTGACAGAACAATAATTATCAAGAAAAAATAAATTCAGTAAAACTGCATTCATATCAACTTTCCACATTTTCGACCCTAGACTTGTGTTACATTTGGAGCAAGCAAGAACAATTAATTACAATAAACAACTAATATATATGATGTTAAATGGGATAATTGTTGAGTGATAAAAACCGTATGCAGCATAATGATGGATACATTAAGTAAGTGTATGGCTTCTCTTCTATACATAGAGAGCACAAACACATACGCAAACATATTCGTACATGTTTAGCTCATTTTTCTTTCACAATTTACACATATGTCGGATTTAAAAAAAAAAAAAGGATTTGGTTTCTTTTCTGATGACAGTAAGAGTGTAAGAAAAGTAGAGAGAAATTTTAAAACTTCTGTAACATAATAAAACATTTACTCATCCGTATAAACATTGCTTTACAGTAGATAACGTGTAAGTGTTTTAAATTTAGAACTCTTAACATTGTTTCTTTATGTCGTTTAGTTACATTGTGTAACAAATATTCTATATTGTGGCTGCAATTATATAAAAAGCTGTAAAAGTGTTAGTAAATGAAACCAAGTCAATTGGTTGCCTCAAAAATTTTATATACTACGAAGGATATAATGCACGTTTTTTTTTTCTGTTCTTGTTTGAAAGCAATGGTCGTCGTCGTTTCACAAGATGGCTTTTAAGTGAATTAAGGTACAAATTTTTAAATAGTTCTGAGGCATTCGTAGATTGTATGCCTTTTAATTGCATGTGTTATAGATGAGATGATCAGGTCCGGGTTTTTGACTTAATACTTTTTGTCTTTCATTTTTAAAGTAAAGCGAACGAAAAGACCTTCAAAACCTATACCGTAACTAAGAAAAATGTTTTTTCATGAAAATTTTAAATTTCGGCCCTTAATGAAAATGGTGTTGAAACATACGCATACAGTTCTCGCGAAATGAATATCTCGTTAGTACTATTTTAGTTAGTGTAGTGTAAGTTCTCTCTTGATGATCTTTTTTCGATTATTATCCGTAGATTCCCGTTGAATATTTATTTTTTTTTTATAAAATTCAAGGAAATTTTAAAGAGTCAAAACAGTTGATTAGTTAACGTTGAATTGGTACCTGATCTCTGTAGATGTCAAATGCCTGTTAGAGTGCATTAACGGTCTAATCTGATTCAATACACCTCTAATTTAGTCGAGCGAGAAGTCTCTTGAAAATACAAATAATCGTAACCAAATTATACCAATTGCCTTATTTACAGTATTCTCTTATATTTGATGGATGAATCGCCTTGTGAGTTCATCATGCTTATGTATCTTTTGGATATGAAATTACATCGAAAATTTACGCTCCATTTCTTTGCATTTACAAGATAAACAATTAAGACAAAATTGTATTCGGCTGTAATCGAATCTTCTATACCCAAACATTTCAATTTATTTTACAAAGTCGATCTATATTTATTATTTTAAGACCTCTATACGATCTTTCAAGACGATCTTTCCGCCGCCGGAAAGAAGTGTGGAAAGAGAGGAGGAGTTAAGCGAGTGGGGTTAATTTTTTCCCGTTTTGTTGGATGCACATGGAAAGTTTTATTGTGCATCTCTTGTTGCTTATAAGAAATAAGAAAAAAAAATCAGAAATCATAAGCGGTTTCAGTTCAGCCGCGTTCTTCGAACGAATTTGCCCTTTTTGCATGTCAGCTTGCGTGCCAAACTTGAAATCACAAAATAAAAAAATACGTTTTTTCCGCCCGTAATTTTTCGTTCAAATTTAATGGAAAAATAAGTTAATGAAGTCAGTTCACATTAAACTAGGAAATATATTGTAGTAACAGAAAAAAGGAAAATTATTTAAAAGTTCTATATAATCCGATTATCGGATATAAAAATTTCACAGAATATTTACTTGTTGGAGTTTTTTGCATTCCATTCACATACCCAACTACTAATAGTAGATAATTTGAACAAAAAAGAAGAAAAAAATCAAAAAAAAAAAAAAAAGATCTCTGTTAAAACAAACCAGGAAAAATAAATAGTGTTTCTTTTCCACGAAAATTTTCTATAATTACGTGAAACTACACTTTCTCTAAAATAAAAAATTCTATGGAAAAATTATTTTTATCAACTTTATTAAGTTGCTGGGAACTTTTCGAATACATTAGAGAAGAAATTTGTTTTGTCGACCCACTTTTTTAAAATCCCAAGGCTGATGGTATATCGAGGCTTAATAAGTTACATCTTTTTCGAATATTTGAAAGCTTACATTTATTGAAGTTTTCATGGCAAACATGGCATATTTACTCTGCAGAGCACGTTTTTGAATGAAAAAGCGTATTACGCTTCAAAAAGGCGAAATTGTGCAAGACGAGGAAATCGGAGGTGTGCCGAAGCGTGTATGCAATAGGTGGTTTTTGATTTCAACCTCAGAGGTCGCTTAAATCGAAATTTGGGTTGGCTACGAGTGCCATATTATTGCATATATTTGTGAATGTGACAGCCGTAGAGATCGAACGTTGGTTCAAAAACGATCGATTAATCCTTTGGAGACTTATACAGAAGTTGAAAAGAACTTGATTTACGATACGATTGTATGCATTTTCACTGCGGAATTAGGCGTAGACATAATAATGGTTTGAAATTTCCACACTATTTAAGAATGATTTCCTTAATGTCTGTCGGTTCTCCTCGCATTACAAGTGAAATACTAAAGCTGTTTTACTTGCATTATCCGTTGGCGACCGGAGTAATTATAGTAATAACAAAAAAAAAAAAAAAAAAAAAAAAAAAAAAATTGTAATGAAAGAATTAAGTTTGCGCATGACCACATAATTTAATTGCTTTTACACATCAGCATATGTACATATATGTCTATACATATAAATACATATATATACATACATATATATATATATATATATATATATATGTAAAGTGTAACAGACAACCGAAATGGTTTTAAGTGAAGCTTTTTTCAACTAAGCACTTGTTATTTTAATGCTTTATACACGCCACTATAGGATAGGCAGATAATAAGTTCGTCGATCTGTACGCACCAAAATTTACGCATTCTTGATGAGCGCAAATTGCAGAGTCGATGTCCGCCTGTCCCTCTGTTGTTTTACTTCTCAAAGTCGGAATTATTTATATAACTTTAAGTAAACAAATACGACATATATTCAACTGTGTTCAATTATCCACTCTCAGTATAATCTACTTGTGCAATGTTGTCTCCCGCTGCTCCAAATGCTTCCAATTTCAAGTCGATTATAATATACCACCTTTTCCCTTTGTTGCACATATGCCATTCCGCGGCTATTATCGTCCTTATAATACATTCCTCAATAAATTTGTAGAATGATATACAGATGTAGGATCACTATTGACGATTCTATACCGATGTTAAGATAGTACAAATCTGCATATGATTGTATGAAAATTTCATGATATTTCTAACATTGGATTACAAATTACAAGTATTTCAGCGACACAGTACATGGAAACCAGATGTTTCCATTGTTTTATGTAGTAATGTAGTTCTAAAACAGCTAAGTTTTAACCTAACGGTCGGAATTCCCTTGAAGTGCTTATGCAGTTCGTTTGAAGGGTGATACTATAAATAAATCATATGGATATGTAAATAGTGATGACGTCTACGACCTTATTTTTTGATGCGTGAATGGTTATATATAAGACAAAAACCAAATTTTTAAAAAGTGTTTTACTAATGTAGATTTACAATGTGGTATAAATAATAATTGCCGGAGCTTTCTAGCAATCTAAAGCACAATTATTTTCGATCAGTGTAGAGAAAAATCAGCGAACCATTAACAAACCATATTGCAATCTTACGCTACGGTTCAAGGTGATGGGTGAACACCATCCGCCTTAAGGCGTATATGAAGTTTTACTTGCTTTAAAGAAAGAAAGATAAAGCGAAACAGCGAGAGAGCAGAAACAAAGGCAAGGACCACGAAGAAGTGTTAGAAGTGTAATAATTTGCAAAACTTACCATATTTGAAGTAAAATTATTTCGTATACCAACGATGCAAACGCCGCCATTGGTGGTTGCCGTTGTGTTCACTGTACGTGAATTTCTGTAAGAAAATGTTGTTAAAGAAAAAATAAATATTCACTTTTTAATTAGAAAATTATATAAGGAAATATGTACTCAAAGATGAAAAGACAAAGAGAGAAATTCTTAATTATTGTTTCTTCTTTAAACAGATTTTTCATTTCATGGAGAAAAGAAATGAAAAGGCCATTTGCTCCATATATACTCTACGTGTATTATACTATAAAATAATTAAATTCATTGAAATATATAAAAATCTTAAAAATTATCTTACGAGATATCAAGTAAGTGAAGCTGCATTTCAAATATCATTTCGGAAAGTATTAAGGAAACAATATTAGTTCCTCTTGCTTTATACATAAACTTGAAAAGTACATCACGGCAGTATTTTCAATTTTTGTTTTTTCTTCTAAGAAATTTCCGGTCTACGATTTAATATATTATAGGAGTTACCCTAAGCACTTTAAAATTTATTAACAATGATTTTTCAAGCAATCAATCTCATCATAAAACAATAGAAAATCATTCTTTGAAAAACAAACGGCCGTGACAAGTTCTGGCTGTATAGGAAAATGTACGCGTTATTTACTTCTAAGAACGAAGAGAATTTGTTTTCTTCACCTTTTCGGGCGCTTAATTCAGAATAATGAAGACCCAGGTAATGACGATAATGAAATAAAAAGGACGACCTACATGTTAGTAAGGTTGCTTTTTAAACACACATTATCGAATAATTGATTTATTGAAATAAATACGGTATATATGTGTATAAATACATGTACACGTACTGAAGAAGCAAAAGCGTGTGACTGTGATGAATAAATTCTAAGCAAACTAAGAGAGGAAGAGGGAAAAAGACAACAGTGAAAGATATCTGAATATTGTTACTCGTTCAAACTATACTTTTTGAAGTTGTTCGGACGTTACAATGCCTCAATACGCCAAGAATTTACAACATGTGGTCGCACGCGGCCCGAAGCCCACGGCAAATGCAGGAATACGCTGGCAATCACGACCTTTAGGGGAATTGTGATAGAGGTACTTGGGGAAGTAAGATAAGCCTCTGCGAAGACAACTGTACAAGATTTCCAACCTCTTTACTTTTTACTGTAGTGCAAAGAAAACGTATATTTAGCGAAGAATAAATTTAGAAATTGAGTACAACTTCAACATTGATCAGTGAAGTATTTCGAGTCATTTGAAATTTATTTGATTTTCTCTCTCTTTCTTTCTCTCCCTTTCTGTCTTATAGTAAAACTAATATTTAACAAAGTTCGAGTTCGAATATCAGCTTAATATGTTTACCTTAACATTTGCTAAATACCGGTTAGCATTGACTAAAGCCTTGCTTTCATAGACATTAATACTGATTAGATAGTCTAAGCTAACCGCCAGCCACCGCCACTTTTTTTAACTCCGTATTTCGTGCATGTGGAACACTTTCATGTTCCCTTTCCGTTACGTCATGATCATTATTTGGGAAATTAGAAAGCGAACTATGTTTTCAAGATGCTGTCGCCTTTAATTCAATCCCAATTAGTATTTAAAAGAGTCAACGTTCTAATTAGATTGATTTGGATTTTTATTTTTATTGCTAGAGTAGTTGAACATAAATTCAACACTGATTAACCAAGCTTTCGAAACATTGTGCCTATGCATTTTACTCGATCTTCGCTAAGAATATATGCATAAATGCCACGCTTTATGTCAGCGATGGTTAACTTTTAACTCCTTTAATAAGTTTCAATTGGCTGCCTAGGCGGAATATACGAAAATTTGATGACATTTCATGATCTTACCACTAGTTTCATGAAATCATCAATAATTTGATTGAGTTTGTATTACTATGGCGATAATTGGTTTTCGAATGCGGCACACCAAAGGATGTCGCATGGTCTATTCGTTGGCTATGATCGGTAGGTGATGAGCCGTGCGTACGCGTAACTTACATATTTTTTTTTAATGTTTCCATTTATATATATATATATATATATATATATAAATATATTTTTTAATGTTTTCTTTTTTTATTATTATATATATATATATCTATTTTATATTATTATTATATATATATATATTTTAATGTTTTCTTTTAAGTTATTATTATTTTCTTTCAGATACTACGCTAAAGCTAATATAGGTTTGTAGTTTGTTTCGGTATCGATTGAAATCAATCGGTCTTGTTTAAAGTCATTTTTCGATAATTAATAGTGTCTAGAATATATTAGTGGGCTTTTCGTCGCTTTAGTACTCATTGTTAAAAAAGTATATGAATTCGGTCAGAATGAATTCCTTAAAGGATTTAATTCTATATATAAGTTCGCTACCAAAATTATTAACGACTAGTTGCAAATGTTACTGCAGGATGAGCAGAGTTTTTTTTCGGACGATTGAGCAGCGAGCGACTAAATATTTTGCATTTAATCAAATGTTATTAATTGTCTAGTCATTTGTTGTGAGTTTTAAGTTTACTTGGTCAGTATTTCACACGTTTATAAAATCACAGACATATTCTGAGGAACCAAATTCGTCCCTTTTTTCGGCCTCACAAGTTCGCCGTCTGTGAAGGGGTGGTGCTAGAGTAGGTTAGGGTTAATCGAAGAGAAGTTAGAGGAAAGAGAAAGAATCGTTAGCTACGAAGAATTAGTTTTAAGGCGAGGTTTAGGAGAAGGAGTTGGTCGCGGGGTGCGTTAACGAGAGGACGTCTCGTTTCGGTTGGTGCGGTTAAAATGATGGTAGTACTAGGTCGTAAAGTAAGGAAAATGCATTTATATTTGAACAAGAAAAAAGGAAACTCATTGTGAGAAATGAATTATAAGGGATAAAGGAAATCCAAAAGAATACTTTAATTTTATTTTTTATTAAACTGTGAAAACCTGAAGTCGCTGAGCTATCCCACAATATATATCTTTATATATGTATACATTTATACACATATATTGATATATATAAAATAGGTTGGAGGGGAAGTACTGTCGTATTTTATTCATGTACTTTGCTTTAACACAAACCCAAGACATTTAATGTGATCTCCAACAGTTGCATGACGAATGCCTAACTCTTCTGCAATTTCTCGACTTGTTAAATGTGGATTATATTCCAACATGGATCGCAAAACATCATTATCGTTCACTTTCTTGGAAGCTCAGATCCCCGGAACGAAATTTGCTTATTTGACAAGTACGGACATTTACAATATCTTTTCTAAATACCGCACATAAATTTATACATGCAACCGATGCTATGCTTCCTTTTTGGAATTCATACAAAAGGCAGTGTCATAAATGCAGTTTATCTACTGACATGTTTTTCGCTTTAACTATCACAAGTAAATGATGAACGGTAAAAAAAGACTCCTTTTATATTATACAGCAGCTAAAAAAAGTTGAAAAAAATTTGAATGACTCAGTAGCCAGATGCTTTTTTTATTTACAAGAAAAATTACCTGCCTATTTGCAATACGACAGAACCTTCCCTGCAACCTAATGTACGTATATATAGGGTGTTCCAAAATTTAGACAAAATTTGAATTTGCTGCCATTTCTACTGCAAAATGTTAACAGTTTAGGGTTAGTAAGACGGAAGCATTACACGAGCTAGCAGGGCTATTTTATTGTCCAACAATACTTCAAAAATATCGCAAGTTTTTTCATACTTATTCAAAAACGAGGCTGATCAAGCAATGGCAGTTACGGACGGTCGATATCGCATTGTGATAATCTATTTCTTTCTGACTAAATTGGATGATATTGGTGTACAGAACACGTTGTTTCAACAAGACGATGACTCATGCCACACATCCCGTGAAACAATTCAATTACTTCATGAGGCAGTATTCGATAAAAGATTCAGTAAAGCCGTGAAGGCCATTTGCCCGATACAGAAAAGAATTTACAATTAAAAAACAAAAACTGTTTTCTATTTAATTCACACCTTGCGTAAATTTTGAGGAACCCTATAAAATACATCTTGTTCCCATGCTTATAGGTACGTACATGCATACAGGCATATATCGTATGTATGATAACACCGTGATATGTTGCATTACGGTAGATGTGTGAGCATGTGCATACGCGTTACGAATTACAAACTCACCGACACTGTAACGACGTTATAGCAGATGGTGACTTTGCAATCCTCAGTGACCGTAAGACTGTTTTATAACTAGGGGGGATGGTTGAAGCTGTTCTCACTGCTGTTTTACTTGTTATTCTTGGTGCAACAAAAGCAGCACCAACAACTGATGCTGATGATGGTATTTTTACTGGATTTGCAATCATATATGAACCTTTATGTGTTAACATTATACAGTATTTTGTGTGAGACTTCAACTTTTTGCAATTATTTTCAGCAGTCGTCGTTGTTATTGTTGATAATGTGTAAGCAGTTGTTTCGCTATTTAAAATTTTATTGTTCAAATTGGATTTCAGTGCTATTTTATGACTCGTTGTTGGTGGTGCGGGTTTTGTTGCTATTGTTGTTATTTTTGTCGGACTACTACATGCGCATAAACGTTTTATACGAAATTGCCGTAAAACAATATTTTCCCGATAGGTAACCATACTAATTATAATTGAAAATATGTTTACAATTTAGAAAATATATTTTTCCACACACATATATACACAACGCATAAAGTTACGTACAATAAAAAAAAAAATATATCAGAAATGTGTAAATATTTTTGTGATCGTAGCTTTCAAATATGTTCTAAACTCGCATTTATTGTAAAATTTCACTTAAAAATTGTTCGTAAAGATTACGACCGCTTATCAAGAGAGCAAGCTCTTTACTATAAGACATTTATGGCCGAACTGACACGTTACTGAACAGATCTTTTACTCTTCCTTGTTTTTTTTTTATTTCATTAATTTCAAAACAAGACAGAACTCATTAAGGGTAGAAATTTATATAAAAGCAAGAAGAGTGAGCGCAGTGAAGTGGAGTTAGTGGTAGAGAAAAAAGCGAAAAAAATACTCAGCGGTAAATACATCTGAGTCGGAATATGAATTTAGATAA